TGCCCGCGTCGCTCCGCCCCGCGGCTGCCACCCGCCCGGGCAACAGGGTGGACGCGGAGACCGCGAGCGGACACGCTTCCCTCCGTGGGGCGCTCACGGCCGGGGCTCGCTCGCCGCGCGGGACGCTCCCCGCCAGGCAGGCAGGGAGTGAAGCTGCTGCCTCTCCCTCGCGAGCCGCGGTCGGTGGGAGGAAGGCTGCGGGCAAGCGCCCTCTCCGGCAGTTGGCAGTTTAGTTTACCAGAAATCATCTGCTCCCGCCGCCCCAGCCACGTCCTCCACGGGTGCTGTGAGTCCGTCCGCCGTCTTCCGTCTTGTCTGATATTTTAAGTATCCTCCTCAACGCGGTTTTCACCATTTCCACAGACTTCCTGTAAAAATAGTGCGTCTACCCCAAGTCATGAGAAAGGGCTGCAGTCGCCGTTGTGGAAGACGGACTTGGGGTTTCTCCTCAGGGTGGTTCGGGTCCAGGCCTCTCTCAGGGGACCGAAGTGCGGACGCTCTGGATCCCAAGTGCTGGTGGACGCCAGTCAAACTGAAAGGGGAAAAGGTGACAGGGACCTTTTCTGAAACTTTCTTTTACTTTTCTTTCTTTCTTTTTTTTTTTTTTTTTTTTTTTTTTTTTTTGTCTTTTTGAGACAGGGCCTCCCTATGCAGTTCAGACTGGTCTTGAGCTCACTTTGTAGCCCAAGGTGGCCTCTAATTCGCAACGATCCTCCTGCCTCAGCCTCCCAACTGCTGAGATTACAGGCGTGTGTCACCATGCTCGGCCTGAAACTTTCAAAGACCACAAAACTAAAAATATTGTCCTGGAAGTTTTAAAAATTATTTAAACATAAACAAGGTGGAAGTCATAATAAACGACCTGTCCACTTTAAGTATGACACTCTGACCCTGTGGATGCAGGAGGTCTCCAACAGTTTTCTCTCAGAATAAATAAAGTTTATTTATAAATTTTGGAATATATGATCTTGAATGGTTAAAATAATATATCTATATAAATAGCCTTGTCATTTTGCTATGTTCTAAAACTGCTAAAAAAAAACCATGGAAGTAACTATTTTTATTTTTCTAGGGATGTTAAACAGTCAAAAACTACTTTTTTGAGACAAGGTCTCATGGGCTGGCCTTAAAGTCACTATGTAGCCCAGGCTGGCCTTGAACTCATGGTGATCCTCCTGCCTCAGCCTCCTGAGTGCTAGGACTACAGCCATGCACCACCACACCTGGCCAAAAACTACTTCTTGTAGTGAAAATATTCAGCTCCATATAGCAAGAGAAAGCTGTTATGCAGAAGTAGGAACCGGCTGAATCACCCTTCCTCGCTCCTTCCCTGCTGCAGAAACAGCCATGGGCTTTTCAGACACTGCATTGCTGCTTCCCAGACGCTGTCCCCCGACTTCACCGTGAGGAGACGGTGACAGTCAGCGCAGGAGTACAAGGCGCCTGCTGTCCTGGGAGCAGGAGACCCACAGACCCTGAGCGGCTTGTTGCCCGGCAGTGCGAGTGAATGTGCCCAGCCCTGTGTGCCAGGCTAGGCCTGCTCACAGCCCAGAGCCCAGTACTCGTGTGCTTCCCACTGTGGCGGCATGCACGTGACACAGTTTACCATTTGACCACGTAATGTGCCGTCTGTGGCACTGAGTGTGTCACGCTCTTGTACAGCTGTCTCCCCCACCCCGAACGCCTCCTCCTGCTCCGCTGAAACCTTTCCCCAGTGAGCACTAACTCCCCACCCTCTGTCCTGCACACCCAGTCTGCTTCCTGTCTCCTCACCCGGCGGGTTCTAGGAGCCGTGCGTGAGTGGAGTCACGCAGCACTGCCACCTCTGTGCCAGGCTCGCTTCACTTAGCGTGATGTCTGCAAGGTCCCTCCAGCTGCAGCGTATTTAAAACTTCCCTCCTTTTTAAGGCAGAGTGACTCCCACTGTGTGAATGAACCACGCTTCTGTATCCATTTATCTGACGACCACAGCCGATACCAAGTTCGAACGGCAGGTGGCAGGAGATACCCATAAACTAAATGTAATGTTTGGCAAAAGCAAAAAAATTTTTAAACTATGTGTTGAATTTTGCCCCTTGAAGTAGAATCAACGATTTTCTCCAGGTGTCTGCTGTGGTTTGGCTATGGCTCAAGTGTGTCCCCAAGGGTCTGTGTTGGAGTTTGATCCCCAGGGTGAGGTACTAGGAAGGGAGAGACTGAATCCAACTGTGGGAGGGTGCTAGGGAGGTGAGCAGAATAAGGTAAGGTTGGGTGGAGCCCCAATGCCTGGACACCACTGGCTTTAGAAGGAGGCGGAGAGAGATTGAGGGGTGGGGAGAAGGAGGAGGAAGAGGAAGAGGAGGGGAGGAGGAGGAAGAAACGGTGGAGACAGGGGTGGGGGCACACACACACTGTTTCTAGCCATGTGGTGACCTGTGCCACGCCTGCACTGTGCCACTGAGGCCATCCCCAGAGGTGGCCCTTCAGCCTTGGGTCTCCAGAACTACAAACCAGAATCCCTTTCCTTAAAACCCGTCCTCTCTGTGGCATTTTGTTGCTGGCAGCGAAAACTAATGCCGCCTCCTCCGTGCACCGTGAGGAGCCCTGGTGCACTCTCTGGGCCACGATGAGGAGAATTTGAGCTGGATCAGCAGATGCCTGGATCGGCAGGACTGTCTGCCTGCTTCTGACTCTGCTCAGACCTGCGCGGCCCAGCCACACAGTCTTAACCTTGTGGCGTGCGGGAGCCCTGAGCAGAGTGCTCAGTGCTTGTGAGGAGCTGACTCTAGTTCTCCTCTGTGCAGACACTGCTAGGGTGGGTGTCTGGCCCGCACCCTTCTGCTCTTCTTCCCTCTAAAGAGGTTTTGGTTGGGGCCATGGCACCCCACGTAAAAAATAATCACCTGTCTTCACCTCCTTGCAACCAGCAATGGCCACGTGGTACAGCTCTGTCCCTTGGCTGGCTGGACCTGGGTCAGCTGCAGACCTGAAGTGTACTCTCCTGAGAGGCCTTCCCCACCTCATCCAGAACCCTCTATTCTTCTGTTCTCTTCTGACCTAAAACTTGGGTGGAAAACAAACACTGAAAGAGTGGAAATGTCCCAAGAACCCGCCCATGGGAAGCACTGCAGTTGGAAAGGAGCCTGGAGCAATGGTGTGCTAAGAGAAAGGAACCTGGAGCAATGGTATGCGTAGTTCCGGAGTTGCACCTCTAGGTGGAGCTCTTACTTTCAAGCAGGACTTCCTACTTCCGGTTATGGAGAACAAAGTTCCCCTATCGGGTCACATGACCATGCTTAGACTTAGGTTAGAGACAGAGCCCTAGCTCTAAGTGAGATGGATGGACTCTGAGATGGGCTGATGACCCTCAGGTGTATTTAGAAATAGCAACCATAGATATATTATTTTTTTTACTTGATAAGTGGTGCTTTAGACATAATGCAGTACTATATTTTTACCAGCTGTCAGTCTATAAATACTAAGTCAGCATTGTATAATGCTTAATGAACTAGGACCCTTGAGATAAATGAAGGAATGACATCTAGGAGTGGAACTAGCAAGAGAATGACTTTTTAAACAATAAAATTAGAACTGAGTTCCCTAAGAATTCTCATAAGATACTCATGAACAAGAGAGTCCCTATTTATTAACAGATTCAATCTGTCAGAGTTTACCACAGTAAACTATAATAACTCATCTATAAAACTCCACAGGGTCAAAATATTCCATGTCCCATTATATTTTACAAGAACAGTTGGAGGTCTGTTCACATAGCTAATATATTCATCCAGTGAAATGAATATTTATCAACATCTAAGAGAGAGAAACAGGATTCTCAGAAAAATTAAAATAAGGGTGTTGGAGAAAATGTTCCGGAATCAGAGCACAAAAAAAAAAAAAAAAAAAAAAAAAAAAAAAAAAAAAGAATCAGAGCACCAATGAAAGGAAACAAAAGAGCAAGGTGGGAGAAGGCTGAGAGCTGAGTGCTAAACAAGGCCTAACCTGGACTCTGAAACAGGCTAACCTGGAGGCCCGAGTTTTTCTCTATATTTGGAACAGGTTTTTGAATCTGTAAAGTCAGAAATGTGAAGTGACTTACGATGCTTGTAATTTAGTTGCAAAATAAAAAACTAAGACATTAACACAAAAGCAAATAGTGTGACACACTATGTAATTAATGCTAAATTATATGGTTTGGAGAACAAGTGCTACAGAAATAGAGCAAATCGGAGAGCTATAAGACCAAGAATAGTTGGAAATGGTCTCACGGAGAATATAGGCATAGGGCAAATTTACAAAGACATAAGGTTGAAATTCGAATTTTCTTTTTTTTTTTTTTTTTTTTTTTTTTTGGTCTTTTGAGACAGGGTCTCCCTATGCAGTTCAGGCTGGCCTTGAGCTTACTTTGTAGTCCAGACTGTTCTCGAACTCACAATGATCCTCCTGCCTCAGCCTCCCAAGTGCTGGGATTACAGGCATGCGCCACCACGCCCGGCTGAAATTCAAATTTTCTAAGTAGAAAGGAAGAGACACGGAGCTACGAAGATGATTCGTGTGTTTGTGGACAGCAAGGAAAGCCCATTTTAGAAAATCGTGGGAAAGAGATTAGCTTTGTAGTACTGGGTCAACTCGTGGTCGCGCTTAGGAGTTTGAAAGAAAAACTTGTGAAAGTAACTAGAAGTAAATCCTGTCTCCTGGAGAGCAGAGATACGGACGCTGCGGTTTCCTGCTCCATGCAGGGCTTGCCGCTTGGACCCAGCAGTGGGCTGGGGGCTCACGTTGTGCTGAGCCCGGACGCGGGCAGCGCTCCCGGCATTCTGTACTTCTCCACCCATGGAGGCCGGGCCAGTGTCTTGGGAAGATGGAGCCAGCCCCACCCCAGAGCACTGTCACCTCCAGTCCACAGAGGAAACAGGAAGCCAGTGGTTTCTCCAATTTAAAGAAAAACGTACAATTTAAAAAGGTAGATGGAGTTTTAAGATGTCAGGAAAGTGTTTTCAAGCACCGCGGCCTCTGGGTGCACCCCTCCGGAGCCGCGGGCTTGCAGCAAGCGCCGCAACCGGCCGGTGCTGCAGCTCGGACCCAGGAAGCCCCGGCGCCGAGCCCGGTGTGCGGGGACCGGGGTGTGCGGGGACCGGGGTGTGCAGGCCGCGTCCTCGCTCGTGCGCCGGCCCTGGGTGA